AAGGGGGGGGGCGCCTGGGTGGCTTAGTCGGTTGAGCGTCCAACTTTCACTTAGGTCATGATCTCGCGGTTCGTGGGTTCGAGCGCCGCGTCGGGCTCTGTGCTGACTGCCAGCTCAGAGCCTGGAGCCTGTTTCAGAGTCTGTGTCTCCCTCTCTCTCTGACCCTCCCCTGTTCACGCTGTCTCTCTCTCTCTCTCTCTCTCTCTCTCCCCTAGAAGTAAATAAAAAAGTATTAAAAAAAAAAAAAAAAAGAATGGAGGTGCCTTGGTGGGTCTGGGTGGCTAGGTCGGTTAAGCATCTGACTTCCGCTCAGGTCATGATCTCATAGCTGGTGGGTTCAAGCCCAAGTTGGGCTCTGTGCTGACCGCTCAGAGCCTGGAGCCTGCTTTGGATTCTGTGTCTCCCTCTCTCTCTGCCCCTTTCCCCCCCAAAAATAAATAAACATTTAAAAAATTGTTTTTTAAAGAATGGGAATGCCTTGAGCTCCAGGCATGCGGCCCAGCCACTGTAGGTGCTCAGTAAGTCACTGCGAAGGGCAGAGCACATGGGAGAGAGATGGGCGATGGTGCTCAGGGCCGAGAGAGGAGAGGCAGGGCCACGAGTAGGGTCCGTGGGTTTCTGCCCCCCAGACCTGGGAGCTGGACCAGGTCAGTGCCGTGGAGGCAGGCGCCAGGCTGGGCAGGGGCCTCGGGACAAGTTGCCTTCGGAGAGCCACGCGACGACGGAGAGTTTTATCTTCCAAAGAAAAGTGAGCCCATCCCTCACCAGAGGCAAACCCAAACGGGGCTCGGTAGAGCGGGAGGTGGGACACCCCCACTCTCAGGACCGCACGGCGCTGGACTCCTACTGTAGAAGTGACCGTGGTCCAAGTACCCTTTCAGTCCCAACAAAAACAGAAGTAGCACTTCCTAAAGCCGGACTGTGAACGGCCGGCCCTCTGTGGTTTGACACCAGCAGAGGGGCTTGCTTCCGGACGCGGAACAGCTGCACACACGAGCCCCAGACGCCCCTTCCGTGGCATGTCCTTGGCCAGTGGCCGAGCCTGCGCGTTTGCGTCCTGGTGGTGCCCAAATAGACAACGGCCTGACTCGGGGTCTCTTGGGTCCGTCACGGGACGCTTATTACCCCTCTGATCACTTTGAGAAGTATCTGTTTATAACCTGCCCCGCTCGGTGTGAGGCGAGCTTCCTCCCACCACATCCTGTGAGCAAACACGAGAGCATGTTGCATTAGCTTCCATTCTCGGGAGCACCGGGCCGACCCCCAGAGAAGGTGCTCACTGAGCCAGCGCCCTGCACTGCCCCCCACTCTTCCATTCTGTTTCCCTTTAAAGTGCATTTAGCCCAGCAGGGCCACCACTACTCCAGCACGGGATGCCAGCACCACCCCTGAGAAGAAGAACTGGCCCACTCCTTTCTGCACGTCCTGGTGGGCACGGAGCAGGCCGGGGGGTAGGGGTCTCTGCATCCCAGCTGGGCAGGGCTGGACAGGAGGGGACGTTTTCTGGGCCGATGCAGCTCCTGGGGAGACTTTTGTTGCCCTGCCCTGTGCAGGACCTACAAAAAATACAGGGCTCACTTGGAGGCTCCCATGGGTCTTGCATTTATCCACAGATTTCACTCATGAGGACATGAGTCTAGATCCAAAGTGAAGGCACGTAATTTGATAAAGGCCATTTGCCGGCAGGGATGGCTTAGAACAGATGAAACGAGATGAAAGCCCCCGAATTCCAGAGTTTGCTGAGCCATTAAATCCTGTAATAGAAGATGGGGAGGAAAAAGCCCCACCCCCTCGCAGCCAGCCTCCAGCGGCAGCTGTCATTGGCTTGGCATGCCGTCAGGGGCAGACACCCAGCCCCCATCTATTAAATCTGCTCTCCTTTCTTTACAAAATGAAGAAGGTGCTCTTCTTCGCTGGCTTTATGAAGATCTCCAGTGTGGGGAAGCTCCAGCAAGAGAGGTCAGCTGACCCTTCCGGAACGTCCACTTCCTGTCTGCCACTTGTACCCAGCAACTGCCCTGTCTCCAGCACGGGCACAAGCAACCCCTTGCTGGTCTTAAAACCATTTTGGTTGTGCTTGGAATGAGAAAAGAAAACATGGCTTGAACATAAGTTCTTAGGTTTCCTTTAGATTCATCCAGTTTTCTTTTGTTTTGTAAAAGACACATAAAGTTCCCATTAGTCACATTGAGCACATTCACAGAGTGCTGTGCAAACCATCACCCCTGTCTAGTTCCAGAATATTCTCATCACCCCAAAAGGAAACCCCAAAGCCTATAAGCAGTCCCTCCCCACCCCGCTCCTGTTTCTGGCTCTGTGGATTTGGGTATTCTGCACCTTTCTTGTAAGTGGGATTCTACAGTACCCGGCTTCTTTCACTTGGCGTGTGTCCTGGGTCCGTCAGTGTCGTAGCCTGTGTCAGCACTTCCCGAACACCACTTCATCGAATGGACAGGCTTTGTCCCTTCATCAGTTCAGAGATTTGGATTGTTCCTGCCAGTCGTTGACTGTAAATAACACTGCTGTGAACATCTGCTTTCGGCTCTTTCGGATGGATCCCCAGGAACAGAAGGGATCGCCGGGTCACGTGGTAACACGTCTGTGTGTGACTTACTGAGGAACCACCCGACTCCATCCACACCATCTTACTCCGTCACCTGCCGATGGCCGTGTGTGGGCAGCATCGGCGATGTTGCTTAGCCCAGCTCCTGAGACCAGAAAGTTGGTTCTTCCTCCAGCCAACACTGTTCTGTTGTAAAAGCGCCGCATGCAGGGCCACCTGGGCGGCTCAGTCGGTGAAGTGCCTGACTCTTGGTTTTAGCTGAGGTCATGATCTTGTGATTCAGGGGTTCGGGCCCCACATCGGGCTCTGCGCTGACAGTGGGGAGCCTGCTTTGGATTCTCTCTCTCTGCCCCTCCGCTTCTTTGCACTCTCTCTCAAAATACATAAGTAAACTTAAAAGGCTTCACATGCAGCCCCTCACTGCTTCACATGCAGCCCCTCCTCTGGGAAAGCCCCCCAGCACCCCATGAAGATAGGCTGGGATCAGGGCAGGGCCGCTCAGGGCTACGCAGAGGGAAGGAGCAAGGGCACAGACTGTCACTTAAGGCGACAACACGGAATATTCCTTTCCTAAGGGGCAGGCCTCCCTTCCAGAGTCCTACAAGGACCTCAGCCGCGTGCCCAGCATTGAGGGGGTACCTGAGGTTGGCAGAGAGGTGTTGCCGGGAGGGAGCAGCTTGTAGAGCAGAGGACACAAGGCTGCTGCCATGGGGGCCCCGTGAGCCCAGAAGAGCAGTGTGGCTACAAGTGTACGTGTCCCCAGCAGCACGGGGGAGCGTCCCCGCGCGCACGCCGCAGTCGTGACCCCGTGGGTCCTCCCTGCCCTCCAGGGACTCGCAGTCTAGAAGCGGAGACCAGTGCCTGTGCTGAGAGTGCTGTCGGACGGGGACACAGAAAGGCTGGGAGAGACACTTCTCTGTCCCACAGCCCCTTGGAGCAGAGAGCAGAGATGCCCAGAAAGGGAGGGAGAGAGACATCAGGGGCGGCTCTGCGGACACTGCACTCGGGACCGCGAAGGGGCCAGCGTCCGAAGGGCCTCCATCCAAAGTAGCGGTGTCCCAGCCATACCAACACAAGAACATGGGGGCGGCTGGTGAGTCCCATCCCCCGATCAGTGTTTGGAATGTGGCCCTGGTAGAGCCGTTTCCTCAGGACGGAGTCCCCGGGTGCATGTAGAACCTACCGTGGGCACACTGCCGTTCCAGGAGAGGTGCAGACACAGAATGTGGGGGGCAGAGGCTGGCCCCAGCAGTGCACTGAGGGAAGGGCGAAGCGGAGGCCTCTGCCGGAGTCAGAAGGGGGACGGCCCCAGAGGACGGGATCCCAGCCCGAGGCACCAGAGGCGGTGGCAGGGTGACAGGAGGGACGCGGGGGCTGACCGGGCTCTGGGAGGTGCAGGCTCCGGGCAGAGCTGCAGCGCAGGGGCTTTGCCCACCCTGGGCCAGCACGACAGTGGGCACGAGGGTCGCAGGGCCCACATCTTGACCCTGCACAGCAGCCCCAGCTCCGCAGGGACCCAGCGTGCCTGAGTCGCTGCCTCTGGTGGACTCTATCTTTATGTCCAAGTCTGGTTAAAAATAGCTAAGCCAAGGGTTTAGCTGCAGCTGACAAGACATTAAGTATTAAGATACCTGATGCCCACAAGTGATAACCGTGGGTCTCTTCCTGGTCCCCTGTCTGCCTGTGGGACAACACCCCCCTCCCCCAGAAAGCAGGCGGGAAGGGGCGTGAGGAAGCCTGAACCACCTTGGCTGCATCCGTCCTCCGTGCTGCACAGTTGGGCAGGTGCCCTGCACCGGCCTGCGCGGGGCGCACCTGCAGACACCGCAGGCCTTCGTCTTAACTGCTTGCACCTCCCAGGCACGAAGAAGCTGAAGGGGCGGGCACAAGCCGGGCGCTGGGGGTGCGCCAGCATGAGGGAGTGATGGACAGGCGGCGGCCCGCTCCACTCGGTGCAACAGACCAGGACTCCTGGAAGCCATTCCTCTGGGCAGGGAGGGCGCACAGGCGCGTGCCGCCAGTCACCCCTGGACGCCTCCCAGGGCTCCCACCAAAGATGGCCAGGAGTCCCGAATCAGAGCCCTGTGCCCCTCTTGGCAAGGCCCTCGGCTTGAGGCCAGAGCCTTAGCGGCTCTGGTGCCACCACGTTTCCCCGCCACATCCAGCACAACAGGCCGGGCGCCATCGAGCCGGGCAGCAGGCCCCTGCTGTCTGCGGGTTCTGGACTGAGGCTGCAGCCCAGCCCCGGCCCTGGCTGCCCTTGCCCTCTCCGGTGTGTGTGGGGGGCGGGGGGGGGGTGCTCTTGCACCCGGGGCTCCCAGGGCACCCACGAGGCCCAAAGCAGCTTGGCGATCAGCGGGCCCCGGGGCAGCCGGGGAAATTCACCCCACGCCGGCCGCCTGCTAACCGCCTGTCTTGTCTTTCTCTTCGGTTCCAGCGAGAAGCGCCACCTTCAAGTCAACGTCACCAACCCTGTGCAGTGCAGCCTGCATGGGAAGAAGTGCACGGTCTCCGTGGAGACGCGGCTCAACCAGCCGGAGCCCGACTTCACCAAGAACCGCTCGGGCTTCATCCTCAGCGTGCCCGGGAACTGACCGCTCCCCAGGGAGGCCTCGCCAGGGCGCGGGGGGCCGCAGCGCCGGGCAGCCCCCCCGCCGCGCCGCATCGCAGGTCCCTGTCTAATTGCTGACTCCCCGCTACTGCCCGCTAGAAATCAGCTCGCAAGGGTCCGTGCTTGGAGCCGAGCCCCCCCTTCTGCCTCCTCCGAGGCTCCGCCCCTGAGGTTTTCTTGCTGCTTTTCTGCCTTTGGTCTCCATCCTCCTCTGCCCCAACTTTCCACGGTCCTCACTCAACAAACCAAAGACCCCGGTGCCCTGCTGCAGAGCCCGGGCTCATACCCTCGGAGACAACTTGAGGGTGCCTGGAGTCAGCGAAGCCTCTGCCCTCCCCCACCCCCCGGCCAGGTCAGTGTGCCCTGACCCACTGACCTGCGACCAGGCCTGCATCCAAGGGGTGGATGCAGTTTCCCCCGAAAACATGCTCCCCTGGGGGACGTGGGAGAGACTGGTGAAGATGAGCTGGGGATGGAGCCCCACTCTCTCCGTGAGCCCAGCCTGCCACCCCTCTTTCCCCCAAGGGGACCACAGCCCCCCCCCCCTCGCTCAGAGCTCTGGTGGAGCCCCTCCCCCAGCAGTCAGCCAGAGGCCCCAGGTGAGCAGGTTCACCTGCAGGGCTGGCCCCGGAGCCCGGAGTGTGCCCGGGGGCCTGCCGGCCGCCTCTCCGAGAGCGAGCAGGTGCTCCGAAGGCCGGCTGCCCTCACGGCACGGCCCGGGCGGAGGTTGTTGCACACGGACGTTGTGCCGTTTGCGGGGCACTCCTCAGATACGGTGTCTGTTGTGCCCACGCTCCTGTCAGGAAGGCCAATCAGAAAACGGAGTTGCAGGGCCCAGGGAGCCGCCGCGCGGGGGAGCCTGGGTGTTTTCCCCTTCCCACACCTCGGTTTCATACTTCCGTGGAGAATGAGGACCAGGGCCTGAGGGGCGGAGTGACAGAAACAGAGCTGGGGGTCCTGGCACTGCAGGCCAGGCCAGGATGCCCACCCCGCCCTGCAGACACCCCCGCCGCAGCTGGGGCCCAGGCCGGGCACGCAGACCTCGCGCCAGGAGACTGCCACCGTCTTGCCAGTCTGTGCCCCGCAGAGAGCACCACAGGCCCTCCTGAGACCCCTCTGCTCCTGAGTCTCGGCTGAGGACTCGGCCCCAGGCCTCCGGGCCCGGAGCCTCAAAAGGAGGGACTTGGGACAGCTCCCGTCGGGGGGTGGGGGGGCGGGGGCCCGCTGAGGGTGAGCCCGTGGCTCAGCAGGAGACTGGCAGGGTGCAAAAGGGACGTGCTGACGTTCTCTTCGCCTTCCGCCACAGACGCTCCCCCTGCCCCCGCGCTCCTGACCTGCTGCCCTGACCCTGCAGAATACACCCAAGTGCCTGAGCACAGCCCCCTGTGCCTGACATGGTCACCTGGCCGACCCCGAGGTGGCCCCAGCAACCTGCTCTCACGCACACACACCCCCAGCCCCGACTCCCCAGGGCCCGCAAACATTTGCACCCTGTGCAGTTTTGCAACAACAAAAACTCCTCCTGGCATCCTGTGCTCAGACACCCGTTCTCCTTCTCGAGGCCTGGTCAGCTGCCTGCACCGCACAGAGGTGCCATCAGCCTGGTTTAGCAACAGAGATTTGCCAATCACCTTGACACTAGACGAACCACCCCAACTGGAACGGCGCCCCTCCTTCCCACTCATGTCCCTGAACCTGCTGCTTTACGCTAGATACGTGCACATGGATGTCGTAGCCACACCAAAATGGACGATGCCAAATGAGCGCCTCTCCCGCCGTCCAGGGCTGCCTGTGGCTCCCCGGCCCAGCGCAGGGGCCTCCCGGCTGAGGGCCAGTCAATAAGCACTTTCTCGTGATGTCCTCAGAAGTCCCAGGGCGTGGCGAGGAGAGGAGGACCAGGAACTGAGGGTATGATCTCTGTCGGCCTGCGGGGTGCAGGGGGAGCTGGAGGACACAGGGACTGTATGCAACGAAGGGTTTCTCTTGCTCTAATTAAATGCAGTTTTATGGTTTGCTGCGTTTATTACTATTTTCCATTAAATTAACTTTATTTCTAGAGCGTATTTTGATTTACCGTCAAGAGCAATAAAGCATTAAATCTTATTTTTAAAGGTGTCCTGCTTATCTGTAATTGAAAACTATACCTACAGTTGTGACATTTCAGCCGGTAAAAAGCTGCTAGCCCAGGGGACAGGAGGGAGCGCTAAGCACAAATAAGGTAAAAATGGAGGGCAAGTTACCGGAGGCTTCTGAACAGAACTATTACACAGCCGGCGAGAAGCAAGCTGCGGAAAGGCCAGGGGGTGGCAGCGTTCAATGGAAGCATTTTGTTCCACCATTTTAAGGCCCATGCACTAGACTCGAAGTTCACCAAGTTCACGGTGACTGAAGTCCGATGCCTACTGTGGCCAGAGGGCCTCTCGCCAGGCTGGCTGGCCGGAGAAAGAGCCCGAGGAACCCAGACCACTCAGGATAGGGGGGCGGGGGGCGCTGCAGGTACACAAGGTGCCCAGATGGCAGAGCATCCCCAGCACCCAGGGGCTACCTGGGCCCTGTCATTGGTGGGGAAGCGCATGCAGCCCAGCTTCTGTGACTCAGACCAAGGGAGAGGCCCTGAGAAAAGCCAGTGGCCTCAATCACAAGGCTGACGGGTGGAAATGCCTTCCTAGCATCCAGGGCCACGTCCGGACCACAGTGTGCAGGTCCCGGGGAGGCCTGAGCCCACACTGCCCTAGGCCCTGAAGCTGAGGCCGGTGGCAGGAGCAGGCACAGGTTAGTGGCCATAGAGTCAGTAGGGGCTCCACCCTTGCCACGATTAAGGGCTGGGATGGCTGCTTATCTGGGATCCCCGGCGCTGGATCTGTCACTCCTGGAGACCCGCACAGAGCTGAACTGGCAGGGCAGGCAGACCCCACTCCACACGTGCTGGCCAGAGACGAAGCCTCCGGTTATGGGTGCTGAGCGGAGCCTGGCCCGGGACGCGTGGGGGCAGCAGCCCCAGAGCCAAGCTCCTCAAATGGGGTCTTGGGTCTGGTGTCCCTGCAGGAGCCATGAACAGGACTCCGCCTGGCCACGCCTAGGCCTGCTCCTCCCCCCCCACCCCACCCCCTGGCCGCACCTCCCAGTCACCCAGCTCCAAGGGAGCCTCTGAGGAGCAACTCCTGCCCCCCGCTGCCCAACTAAGCCTGAGTTGACTTAACCTATGCCTCTCTCTTAAGCACCTTAACTTTGAACACACTGGTTAAGCCCTTTCCCTGAGCCCTGTCCTCCCTCCTCTCCCCCCCCCCCACCAATAACACAAATCCAATTACGTTCGGAGCAGAGGAATCATTTCTACAACCCCCCCCTCGTGAATGACCTGCCCACAAAAAGAGGCCTATGTAATGGATGGTCAGTGCATTTTATTTAATCAGCACAGTACAAAAATAAATAAAAATAAGGGAAGGGGAATTAAATTACAGCCAAACTGAGCTTCATGACCTTGTCAGTTTATAAACCACACATACTTACAAACACACTACACACACATACAGAATGAGACAAATATAAATTAATATTAACAATACCCACGGTTTGGTCAAAGAAGAGCTACAGAACAAATTGCACTAAGAACCAACACACACCGCACGCGTAATTAGCAGTTTCAAATATACAGCTATGAATAAATCCGAGTGGGAAAAAAAAATGGCACATTTTCTTTTCATTGCAAGTTTAACAACTGTTGGAACAAAACTAGATTCTAATAATTGTATGGAAAGAATATATCAACCCTTCAGGTTTACAAGAAAAAGAGAAAAACCAAATCCTGAACTATTATTCCTGTGACTTGTTCTGTCGACGGGTGTAATGCTCACGGCCATCTGTTCTAAGATTATTTTTCTTAAGACACAAAATGCTCCTGGTTCGCATGCACAATATCACTGTAAAAGCAACAATTAAAGAATAAAGGGTTTTTTTTCCTGTTAGTTTTTTTTTTCCTTTTTTTTTTTTTATCGTTGTTCTAAAAGTAGTCTTCATAGCAGCATGTCAAATGGGTTCACTGCCTGCACGCTCAAGTACACGGGTTCCTTCACACAATCCTGACCGGCGCAGGGGCAGGGGGCAGAACGTGGCAGGCTTCACACTGGGGGTGGGGGGGAGGGAGGGAACCAGAGACTTATTTCCTTAAGTCCCCAACCACTCCTGAAATTTGCACCTCCTCCAAGAAATAAAAAAATAAATACGGAGAAAGAAGGAAACGCACAAAACCGGAATGGGGGGGAGGGGCGGAGAGGGGATGCAACCTAACCCCACGGTTCCAGGCCAAGTTCAGCCTCTGAATGAGCGGACGATGGGCACGCGCCCCTTGGCTCCCGGACCTCCCTTTTGCGAGCCGCCAGGGCCTGCGGCCCCCTCGGGCCTCCTACCTCAGGTCGCACGTGGCGGCAGGATCTGAACAGACAGGCCGTGTGACAGCTCCGCCGGGGAGGGGACGCCGCGGCCAGTCTGTGCCCGCGGCGCTGGCAGCCACAGGCCCCTTCCGGCTCCACGCAGGTTCGCTGGCAGGCCCGGGGAGGGCTCCGCGGGAGGCGCAGCCGGGCAGACGCTCTCCCGGCCCGGCGCAGGCCCTCCTCCTCTGGGCCGGGAACGAGAGCGCTCCTCCTAAACCCGGGCCTCAGTTTCACAGCTTTCTCTTGTTAAGTGTCAATTTCAGTAGTGTTTATGCCGAAACCAGCAGCCACCTGGAACCTAATCCTGTGTCAAAGGACCCTCTGCCTTCCCCCGGGCCCCTCCCCCTTCCAGAGCTCCCCTGGGGAGGGGGAGTGGGGGGGGCTGGGACTGAAAGAGAGAAGTCCCCAGAGCGGCTTCACGTTGGTCTTTGTTCCCCAAAGCCGGAGTGCGGGGCCATGGAGGAAGGCTTGCTCCCTTCTCCCGCCCCTCTCCCAAGTCCCGAGCCACCAAATCGGGGAGAAGTAGAAAGGAAACTGATTAAGCACACATGGCGTGTTCTCGCGGCCGCCAGGGCGAGGTGGGCACCCCAAGCGGCAGCTGCAAATGATCAGGCGCAGACTCAGCAGGCTTCCGAAGCAATCGGGAGCGTTACTCCCATCTTGGAAAGGCCTCCAAGATCCAGTGGCCTCACCGGGGCCTTGCGGGCAAGGCGCCGTCTTCAGAAGAAACTGAACTGTTTGGAAAACAGCTTTAAATGAACAGGGGTGGGGACCTGGGGGGAGAGGGGTGCAATCACTACCACATCACCCTGATCCCTGACATCACCCCCTCACCCCGGCTCGGCAGCCCGAATGTCACATGCACCGGCAAGAGGCCTGAGGCCTTAGGTGGGCACTGGCCGGTGTCCCGCACGACACCCCCACCCGCCCAGGAGGCAGGCTGTCGGTAATGGGCACCTGAGCTGCCCCGGCCTCCGCCACAGGGTGAGTAAGCTGCATTAGTCAAATGAAAAATTCACCCAGGAAAGGAACTGTCCCTAGCTTCACCCCACCCCTTCAGTGAGGAACCAAAATCAAAGAACTTAATGAGTCAAACCAGCTCATTAACCACCACCACCAACACGGCTGGGGGCAGGGGATGAGGGGCACCCCGGGAGGCAAGTTCCGTGTCTTCACTAAAGCCCTTCTCCCTAAAAAAGAAAAAGGAGCAAACCGGGGTCGTGCGCGGCCAAACGGCAGGACGCAATCTTTGTGCCAGGCCGGCTTCTCCATGACTGAAGAGGGGTCCCAGGGTGGTGGGCATCCTGCCTTCACATCCCCACTCGTGGCTCAGTCAGGGTGGCGACCTCCACAGGCCTCGGGGAGAATGGACGACCCAAAACAGGAGCCAGAAAAGGACCTCCAGCCGGAAACGCCAACTGCTCCCTGGGCCAACTGGCCAGAGGCGCCTCCCCCCTCCGGCTCCCATGCCAGGCGCAGCGGGCAGCCTCACCTGCCCTGGTCCAGCAAGGGCACAGGCGACAGAGGCGGGTCAGTACTTTCCATTCCCCAAAGTTGAGAGGTCGGCGGCCCGGGTGGCTCTGGATGCATCTTCTGGGTTTTGCACAAGGTTCGGGAGTTCAAAAGCGCCCAGGGTTCGCGGCAGGGCTGAAGAAAACCCCAAGGAGAGAAGGTGGGAAGGGACAGGCCCTCGGTGGCTTGGCTAGACACAT